TTTAAGAAAATATCTCCTATGTGGCGTTTGTGAACTATAGATAGTTTTTTGTAAAATTGTCAATTTGTCGGCGAATGTCCCTTTAAAATAAAGGATATGGAAACATGACCGCCCGGCGTGTCACCGGAGAACGCCGGTGTTCATAGGGTATATCTGAACAATAACTAAAGTATTAGACATGGTGGCGAAAATGCACATACCCGTATGCTTTGCTATAATGCCAATGTCAAGTTCAGGGAATTCACTATTACGGTAATGATATTTTAAAAATAATACATTTATTTATATTTATTTATATTTGTAAAAGTCTATCACATAAGAGGATTGAACGTACCCCGGGTAAGGAGTAATTTAAATAAGGACATTGCGAGTACAATGCGATTTTAAAATTCACTTCCCATGAATGCGAAAGTAAGATATACCCTGAAATTGTGAATTTATATACCAGGTACATACTGTGAGTTTGTGCAGTTTTTAATATTAGGCGCGATAAAGGTGTGTTGTTAAATTCTATATTTACTACGTGCGAAGTTAGAAATGAAATATAGCAATATATAAAAATTATTACACGGCATCACGCTGTTATAGACTATAATATATGAATATTTGTAGCATATGTTCACGGATAAACAGTCTGTATACTGTCATACCCCGTGAATAACAATGAGATTGTTTGATAGAACAGTACAAAAACCTAACACATTTAAAATATTTAACAGAGCGGGTATCCCTTTCAATATGGCGTAATACTGTAATTTTAACGGTAAATAACTTCTAAAAACAATGCCTCAATCGTTGATGTTCAGGTCATCTTCCGCTTGAGAGATCACCGCCATCGGGTAATATTGGGATAATATGCAAAGCCGAACAAAAATACAAGTTCAAAAACAGTGCGATCTGAAACGCTGGCTTCTGAAACATGGCGAGGTATCAATTACATAACCAACAATAGTCAGACAACGAAATAGTACTCGTATACACAAACACGTACGCGTGACATTAAATACTCGTCTAGATCTAATATATGGCACGCATTACGCGAGATTGCGCAGGGAACGAAAAATCACATAGTAGAAAATATCAGTACCTTACCAGTACATGAAATGACGTCGTGTGGTGGTCGTTACGTCTTGTTTACGAGTAACTGGCAGTATTAATGACTACCCGTGACATAAAAGCCACTCCCAATAAACTGAGTGTATTAGCGACAGTGAATGCACATGTACCCTGGGTAACAGTAGTCGATCGGTGAAGGTCGCTTCACTGTCTGGGTAAGGTCGGTCTTATATATAGGCTTTCTGGATTGGTTGGCGGCGGCGTTTGTTATGAATTGAGAATGGTGTTCAATATGGGATCACGACGGCACCTTATAAAACTATGTCTAGTAAAGTCGTAGTACTAAGATGTAACTAAATCAAAGATGTTATGGAATACATCGCGGATAATTTTGTATTTCCCAGAATAGAAAATGATAATATAAAACTCATAATGATATCCGATGTTTGTTAATACTAACTTTCTAATTTTGTTGCGGGTGTCAGCGTGGAAATTAAATATAATATGGAGACAACTAAAACACTGATGCAGGTAGAATCTCTGGTTGCTTTTATTTTGTGTTCACCGTTTTAAGGATACTGGCGTACACGCTAGTTAGAGACATGTACACTGAAATGCAAAAACAGATGACGTAATATTAAAAGCGACCATAGTCTCTACATGCATCAGTATTGTTCAAGAAAGCTAGTAAATACTAGTTTTAACATAAATTAAATTTCTGTAAATAACTTGTTTTGTGACTCAAGCAATTATTAACCCAGACTTACGTAGAACAGAGCACTTTGTGTAAGATACATTTTAATAGACAAATAACAGAAAATGACAAGACAAAATAATTTAATTATCAAAATGTTCGATACCAACATATGTCCGAAACCACTACTACCACCAAATGGTTATATGGAAGTAGTTCAAATAAAAAAAACTACTGCGTTGCGTTGCATCTTATCTTGTTTTGATGCGTCATGTTCGTTGTATCCAACTTAATCATTCAACCCTGAGTAAACAAATGTGCAATGTAAGTAGAAAAATGCTAAATACACTAATCGCAAGTAAATTCTGTTTTCCCTCATTCCTTGATATATAAATACACTGGAATATGTGCATGAGAATAAATTCTGATTTTCCATAACATGTCAAATTAACATCTATGCTATACTTCATTATATTTATGTGCAATCATGGTAGTTCCAGCGCTATCAACAACGTATGATGTACAAATGGTCTGAGTTTAGGCACTAGTAAATAGAGTTGTCAATGTGAAGAACCACTCCAAACTCTCTTTAAGTAGAAATACCATAATTCTAATACCTAACTCATGATATATATCATTCGTATTTTGATTTAAAAATTAAATCATTGACCTGTAAGAATAACAGTAAAATAATATCGATAATAATAATAACATAAAAATGATTATCTCGCGGTGTGTAGTGATCACGTTATTTGCTGCAACACAATCTCGCAGTATGTAGTCACATGATTTGCTGCATCATAATCTCGCAGTTTATAGTCACATGATTTGCTGCATCGTAATCTCGCGGTGTGTGGTCACATGTTTGCTGCGTCATAATCTCGCAGTGTTATTGTTGACGATATATGTTTTGTGATTGCAATTCCGAAAGGTGATTTTTCTGTCGGTTAATTGTTGTAGAGCTCCATCTATAAGGTACAAGAACGATAGACAAAAAGTAAGATGTCACAAAATAAATGTTGATTAGAAAGTATTTAATCGCCGCGTGTATCAAGAGTCATATTAAATTATCATAATATCGCAACTACGAGATAATGTGGAATACTGGAGTTGCAAAAAAGATTGGTGAGATATAATGACATTGATGGGTTTTAAAACTACAACATAGGTTGGATATATACTACAGTGAATGGATATATACCACACAAGGCGCGATGATATTGCATGGGTTGGTGAGACACTACATGGGTTGGTGAGACACTACATGGGTTGGTGAGACACTACATGGGTTGGTGAGACACTACATGGATTGGTGAGACACTGCATGAGTTGGTGAGACACTGCATGAGTTGGTGAGACACGACAAGGGTTGGTGAGACACTACATGGGTTGGTGAGACACTACATGGGTTGGTGGGACACTACAGGGGTTGTTGAGACACTACATGGGTTGGTGAGACACTACAAGGGTTGGTGAGACACTACATGGGTTGGTGAGACACTACAAGGATTGGTGAGACACTACATGGGTTGGTGGGACACTACATGGGTTGGTGAGACACTACATGGGTTGATGAGACACTACATGGGTTGGTGAGACACTGCAAAGGTTGGTGAGACACTGCATGGGTTGGTGAGACACTACATGAGTTGGTGAGACACTACAGGGGTTGGTGAGACACTACAGGGGTTGGTGAGACACTACAGGGGTTGGTGAGATACTACATGGTTGATGAGACACTGCAGGGGTTGGTGAGACACTACATGGGTTGGTGAGACAATACATGAGTTGGTGAGACACTACATGGGTTGGTGAGAGACTACATGTGTTGGTGCGACACTACAAGGATTAGTGAGACACTACAGGGGTTAGTGAGACACTACATGGGATGGTGAGACACTACATGGGTTGGTGAGACAATACATGGGATGGTGAGACACTACATGGGTTGGTGAGACACTAGTAGGGTTGTTGAAGCACTACAAGGATTGGTGAGAAACTAAATGGGTTGGTGGGATGGGCTTGTAATATACTACACTGACACGTTAGCGAGATATTATATGGTATGATGCCATACTACGTAGGTTGGTAGGATACCCCATGGAATGATGGGATATTACATGCATTTATGAAATACTACACAGAGTAGGCGATATGACTGTCAAGATGATAAGATATAAAATCCATTGAAATGTTTAAAATTATAAACCCAGATTAATGTAGTTCGTGACTAACCTCGTAATGTATGGGTTGTCCAGTTCCAACGCCTGAGTAAGCAGGAGCGTGTTCATCCGTCAAATTATGTACCACAATTCCATCCCCATTTCCGGTTCCGGTTTCAGCCGTCTCTCGTTTTGTTGCCCAAGTCTTGCCACCATTTTGTTCTTTCTCAAATGCGTGTATCATGTGAAGCATTATTACTTTTGTCGTTTGCCCCGTTTGTAGTGACCCCACTCCAGCTCATGACTTCCTTTGAAAGTGTCCTGAAGAAGAATAAAAAGTGAGATCAATGATCAATGTGTGCGACCGAATTTAATTAATATTTTATTTAATTGTTTGTAATAAATATATATAGGGTGACCGTCTTTTTTAAGTAACATGAGACGCGAGATTATTTCCCCTCGTTTCTCTTATTTCTTTGTATAATTCTGTTTTTTCGTCATAGACATTCAAAAGTTGAGAAACGTTTCACGAATTGGTAAATATATTGTGGAAAGAATATCCTGACTACAGTGGGAAAGTACAAAAGTAAACCAAATTCGGTATTTCGTACGGCGTTGACTAAAAATTGGCGGCCATAGTTGTACTTTCTCAGCAGTGTGCTATATGTCTAGCATGTAGAACGTTACGAAGTAAAACACAGATGATTAGGCTGGCCCAGCCGTGGCAATTTTATATATTTGTTTTCTTAAATCGTAGTCCGACGCGGAATTGTCACGTCATTTGGTTATTCAGCGTCAACGTGGAAGATTCTACAAACTCGTTCTAAAGAATTCATCACATAAAACAATAAAATTGCATGACTGGGCCAGTTTAACTGATGATGTCACGTGCAAAGACCAGGGGTATAGACTTTACTTTAGAATGTAGAATATGACTTGCTCATACATATCACGCGAGATTTCGCCAGACTCTGGAAATCACAGTGGTCGAGATTATCCACAAGTCGTGGTAACGTTTTTTTTGAAACAATCTGGAAAAATATGCGGGTTTATTTTGAAAAAGATGCCAAAACTTGAATTTGACGCTCAAAGGGATTACCGTGACTCCGACAATGGTAATTCTATACGCGTCATGTACATTTTCACAATAAATAACATTATTTCATCATGCCATCAATAATTATTTATTTATTTTTACAGGAATAATCTGAAAAACTATTTGAAAGCATTTAGAATGTAAAACTAAGATGAAAATGGACTGTTTGGGGGTTTCGAGTCACTGAGACATAGAGAAAAAAATCGTTGTTATGCGGTTTTATTTTGTGAAATCATTTCTAGATGAGGTGAGTAAGCTGTTTTCCGGAAATGACTTCAGGAAACAAACCAAGGAGAAAAACCTTCTAATATGAAAGTCCTTGTTATATTATGCCCAAAGTATAAAGTGTCGTGTGGAATTTTAATCACATTTTCTTGCAGACAAGAATCTTTTAGCATAGGGCTTCTCTAAACACATTAGCAATGCCCGTTGGGCCATTCACGTGACAAACGGCACATAAGATGGCGGACGGTACCTATGCCTCATTCTGTTTATCTTTTTATACGGTATAATATATATTGTTTGACACCACCAATCAGCCTGCATTATATATATATGACAAGGGAAGAAACAAAATATTCACACATTTTTTTAGCTGCCGAAAATCATACTTCAAATACAAAATACATTTTTCAAACCAGTTATGAGTGCTTATATAAGATTACATATAAATTTTTCCAGATTTCACGAAATTTGACAATTTCTGTTTCTTGCGATACCAGATACAAATGTTTATGTCAATCTGCGCATGCGTGAGGCGCGCTCAATTGGCAGGACAGTGAATTGTGTCAACTTGAGGGCGCTGTATGCATGCGCAGTGGTGTCTGGTATCACATGGAACAGAAATCCATTATTTTTAGCAAAGGTAAGGCCCTGTACCAGAACATAGTTGCTCCGTCCCATAGACGTGCATGCACATTGGCGGATTTAGATGGGGGCCGAGGGGGGCGCGCCCTCCCTAATTTTAACAACAAACAGGGCTTCGCGCCATCGGCGCTCGCGAACTTGGCCTTAGGCCAACTTATCGCCCCCCCCCCCTATTCCAGAATTCTAGATCCGCTCCTGATGCATGTATTTACACGAATAGATCATCAGGCCCCTGTGCTTAGAAAGGTTAAATGCATAAAACAACAAACGACTTACTGAAAGCCGGCTGGAATGGTGGAACCCAGCCAAGCCTTTCCTTGGTTGAGAGACTCTACCGACTTTGAGCTAGGAAGACTAAAGAAAGGAAGTTCCCAATATCTATCTTTCTCCAAATCAGGCACCAGATCGTAACAGTTGTCGACGATAAGCAGACCTACCTGAAATGTGAAAAAAAGGTTTGGACAATAAGTTCATATAACTCGCTTCCTCTTGTGGCGATGAATCTCTGGCGTACTGAATGCAGCGGACGCAGCTCACAGTATCACTATCAATATTCGTTTCATCTGTGGTCCGCCAACACAACAAAAATAGGCTGTTGACGTCGAAGAACTATTTCGCCACTAGAAAGCGCGCGTGTATAGACTAGAATTCCGATTGGTGAAAACGCCATTATATGTTAAAGAGCGGTAGTCGTCGTGCCACGCATGTGCGAGATATATGGGTTTCATATCAACAAAGATGGCGACTTTGACTATTGCGCAGATCAACGAGTACAAACTGAGACGTTTCCAAGCTTTAATTAGACATGTGTAGGTGTTTGAAACGTATCGAATGAGTTACCGGCGGTAATCAGTGCAAGTCACGCCCAGGTTAAACCTCATACTTGTGATTTCCATTGGAAAAGCACATTAGATTGTGCGAAAATCAATGTTCATCAACTCAAATGTCGCACATGCACAGTGTGACGACTACGCCCTTCAATTAGACAAATAGCATATTAAAATATAGACGAATTATCCTCCAAAACGCTGACCTACAATAAACTGCCATTAACATATAAAAATGTAAATGTATGACAATATTATTTTTTAGCCAGACAAAAAAAAAATCTTGTTCATCGTTCAAAATTGTCTGGGGAAAACCTTTTTTACGAAAAAATTTGAACGGTTATACTCATCTTGAACGTCCTTAAAACGATGTAAAAAATGCAGGAACTTCAACGAAAATAGCGGTGAACAGAGGCTATAAATGTATTTTTGAATACATATAACTGAGGTCTCGCAGTTTGCGAGAATCTCTCAACACCGTCAACAGTCAAATGATTTTTTAGCGGTAGTACCTGAAACATTCGATCTAGGATATAGTTGATTTCAAAATCATCGTCATCTCCTCCATACGGATTAATCATAACCTCGGCGACCTACATAAAAATAAACATAGTGAAAGTAGTAAAACTTTGCCTTTACTAATAAATCCCACATTACTTCGAAATCTAAACAAATTACAGAAAACAAGATAAGGTATTTTGATATCAGTCACGTGTAAAACACACGACAAGCAAAACTGACAACGTCACGTGACGGTTGCCACCCACCTTAAGCCAGCCAAAGTAAAATAGAAACTCGAACACCAGAATCACGGGAAACCAAATGTCGAGGTCTGTTGATGATTCCAAAAATTGTGAGGAGAATAATTTTGCTATGAAGAACGTATACGTTGCTATGGTGACAACCTATAATATGGAAAATAACACATTATTAGATATGAACACAGTTGTGTTTTGTCTTCATCACGTGACGGCGATGCCACGTCTTGGGGAAATAAATTGTGGTACTGCGTAATATTATTGCAAGTCAGGTTCACAGTATGAGCAGATATCATGTCATTCTCGTGTCAATTTAAAAATATACATTGAACTGCATTTCAGTTTGAACGAGCACGCGAGGTCGTACCTGCGTGTAAACCAGCGGTACACCGATCCAGTCATAGTCCATCATGGTGGCACAGGATGCTCGGTGAAGCTGAATTTTCTAAAAAGAAAAATAGCATGTGATAGCAAAAATACACTTGAGGGCGCTCCATTATTTCTGTAGCTGTCATTCTGCAGTCTTGTTGAAAACTGTTCAGGAGAGTCTCAGCAGTGTAGTGTAATTTTACGAATTCAGTGTAAGTTGAGTAGGTGTGGGTAAAATGAAGTTGTCCACGTGGACCTAGACTTGGCTTCAGTTTCTTGTCGCTGCGATACTGCGACTCTGCCTCGGGCGCCACAGTATAATAACAAATACCGTTGAGGCAGAATAACAAACATAATCGTGAGCGACCCCTTTTGAACTGAAGCGCGCGTAGAACCGAAAACAAATATATTTGCTTGCCCTATGAGAATATAGTAGTTTACCTGTATCACGGCCGTCCCGCCACTTTCTATTTTCCCTTCTGCCTTGAGTCGTGCGACCAAGTTACAAGACCAAGATAAGGGGAGCCACCATTTTACATGTGGGGTAGGCATGTTTTCAAACATTGCATGTTCTTTTTCTGTCAATAAACCTACAAATGTGATTGGAGAGATGCGCAACACGTTATGAATGATGACGGCAGTTCGAATGCCAGCCCTCAACGGTGAAATTGAGAGATTTTGAGTATGTTCTGTTGTTTCAAATTTGAACAAAGGCTGGGCTTGACTTAACGTAACTGGTCATAATTAACGTGAGTTACGGTTGAATTCACATGCAAATATAAAATAACCATGCTTGTCTAAACACGTAAATGTTTATATTTTGACGAATATCAGTTAAATTTTCGTGATTTAAAAACCCCGGAAAACAGTCATGCTTTCAAATCGCATCGTAAGTGGAGGAAAATAGATTCACCTGCTTTCTTTTTTGAAAAAATATTCTGATTAGTTGTTTTTCGCGTCAATGCGTGGTTTTATCCAATCAAATGCATATTTACATAGTATCAGGGTTCACACAGTCAATGAAGTGTTTCTTGGTCGTAGCTGTTTTCAACGAAGCAGACATCAACAAACTTCGATTCGGATGAAAATTATTTTTTAAGTATGTATTTTTCGTACAAAATGCTATTATTTTTGATAGAAACTGTTGACTTCAGTGACAACATAAATATTTTATATTGCTTCGTCCAAATAAATATAAATCACAATTTGTGTGGCTAATTTAAAATTAAATAATGCATGTATGCATGTATTTGGTAAAACCTCAGACTAGTAATTGTATTAATTGTATTTAATTTAATAATTGTATTACTAGTCTGAGGTAAAACAATCTAACAAACTTGTTTGTCTTTTTGTGGACGCGATAGCCGTGATGAAACATGGAGCTAAATCAGCTGATAGCATATGATGACGTTTACTTAATAATATCACTTCAAAGTTCTCATCTGACTTTTATCAAATGTGCTGGACAAACATCCTTCAGTAATGTGGTCGTGTTTGGGTGGCTACTATCATGCAGCTTTCTCTTGTCAAAAAACTAACAGTGTGTATATCTTCGTAATCTGTAGGTGTTTGCAAATGACAAACATTAAAAGTAATCCTATTTGCCATTATCTTGGCTTTGTTCAGTTTTTCAGTCATAAATATTAATGAAGAGGTGCAGTAATACATGACGCAGGGTGACTTGACGTGAATGATTTGTCGGATTTGGGTCACGTGTTGACAAACGGAAGAAACATGTGTTAGCGTTGGTACTGCGTTGGTCACGTGTTACATCATACTGATCTGAGAGGCAAAATCCTACAAATGCCTGCCGTATTAGTCCAAAGGCAGTTCATTCTATTCATACTATTCATATATATTATTAGATTTGTATAGTGCTAGGTATAGTGCATGTTTTTTTTTTCATCATGTCCCACCGGTATTAACTGGTCAATTCATTGAGATTTCAATGACTTGACACCGGGAATGTATTCACGTTTTTTGAAGTTGGTTTTTCATATATTTGTAAAGTATAGTAAATTTATGCGTTACAAAACACTGAAGTCACACGCAGTGATTACAGATCCTCAGAAGGGGGATTGGATGGGCGAGTGCTTTACTGCCTAGATATGGTATGGATGTACCACCAGCCTAGTACTTTAGACTAGATGTCATGATGTTGTCG